GGGCGCCGGGACGGAGCGCTTAGGCGACAATCCGCGCCCCCGACGGGGCGGGGCCCAGGCGTGGAGGCGGGAGGGGCGGGCATAGGCAGAGTGGGTGACGGGCCTGAGGACTCCGGTCCTCTGATTGGCTGAGGGCTTGTCCTGGCGGGCGGGTATTTAGAGGGCTGGGTGGTGACTTTGCTAAAGCGGTCTGGCCGGAGGGGCGGGCGGGCGCTGCCTGCGCGCATGCGTGGGGTCCACGTGTGTCGCCCGCACTGAGCGAACTGCGGTCTCGCAGTCGCTTGAACTTTCGCGAAACGGAATGACTGTGTGTTAAGCCGGCTGTGCCAAAGATTGCTCCTCCCCCTCTGTGCGCCTCTGTGTTTCCACTCTCTCTGGCCTGGCAACCATTACTTTTCATCTCTACGGGATGATAGTTATGAAATAACTATGATATGAGCATGAGGTTGAGGTCCCATTTACTAGAAGGTCTTTAAAAGCCAGGAGGTAGGTAGAAGAGGATTTTGTCTGAACTCCACCCTTTATTAGATATGTCTACCAAGGTCGACTTCAGTAAATCTGATCTTAAAGCTCCTAATCTGTAAGGCGTAAAGTTAGAACACTGACTCTTGCAAGAAAGTAAACTGTTATCTACCCAGCACAATGCTTGGCATGCATTGAATGCAAGATAAATATATTTTAAAAATACAGTGAATGAGTGCCCAATGCCCTGATTGAGTCTGAATGATGTCTATATTTTATCCTTAGCTTCTATCCCTGATAAAAGGAGGGGAATGGTGTAACACAGGGGTGGAGACCAAAATGCCATGCTAAACCTGGCTTCACCATTGAAGTACACTTGGGGCCTGGAGAACGAAATGAATTCTGATATACGCAAAAGGTGGTATAATGTGAAGTTTTAAACCTTCCATTTCCTCTTTTTTTTTTTTTTTGAGCTGGAGTGCAGTGGCTCACGGCCACCGCAGCCCTGACCTGCTGGGCTTAGCCTTCCAAGTAGCTGGAACTAGAGGCACACGTCACCATGCCTGGCTAATTTTTTGATTTATTGTAGAGACGAGGTCTCACCAAGCTGCCTAGGCTGGTCTCATACCCATGGGTTCAGGCAATCCTCTCACCTCGGCCTCCACTCCCTCCTTCTAAGCGCAGAGTACAGAGCTGTCACAACCATCAAGGAAATGACTCAGAGATATGTCGGTAGCCCTATAGGGTAGATAAAACCCAGCAGTAATGGAGCAACTTTTTTGTCTTTTCCTTTAAAGTTTCCCCATTAAAGTTTATCTTCTCCTGCCCGCACTTCCATTGCTATTAAAGAACCCAGTTCTGGAGGCTGCAGTCCTTAAGTTTGGCCCAAATAAACTCGACTTACATGACTTTTGCATCAGTTTTTTCCTTTAAGTTGACAGTTATTCGTTTATGTCACAGAAGAGAGTAAGCCTGTGAGTTGCACTCCCTGGAATATAACGCACTGACCCCTAGACTCAGTAGAACCTCCTCATCCTGCAACAACTCCTTAGAGCTGGTCTGTCTCCTAATGTTGCCTCATCTACCAAGAGACTGAAAACATGACGAGGAGCCATTAGCTCAAGCAAAAAAAGAAAAAACAACAACTATGTTCTGAATATGTCAAGAAGTCAATCAAGGACCTAGCCTTGACCAGCAACAAGATTACACATATATTATTCCCTAAACACAAATTGTGCCCAACCCCCAGGATGGTTCCCTAGGTCACCTTCTTCTGTGACACCATGTGTCAGGCCAAGTTCAGGACTGCTCAGGGCCACCACCCTCCCATATCACCTCTAATCACAGTTATTTTTTGTTCTTTCCTTCTTCCTTTTGGTTCTTTCTTTCTTCCTCCTTCCTTCTTTCTTTCCTCTCTCACTTCGTTCTCCTTCCTCTCTTTCCTCACCAATGAAGCGTTTTCTTAGCTGTGTTTAAGGCAATGTGTCTTATTCAAAGTTGTATAATTTGTGATTCCTGCCTTCAACTCCTTTATACTTGAAGAGAAGATCTAGGTATAAATAACTGAAATGTTTTTTATATCTTTCTTAGGTCTCCATCAATACATCATTGTCTTGAAGGAATTAATGACTTGAGAAAATGCAGAGAGGGACTAGCAGTTGAGGGCTGACACTGCAGAATTTCCTACTACATTTTCAGTGCAATTGATGGCATGCTCCCAGAACCTGATCGTGTGTAAGAAATTCAGGCCAGCTCAGGAGAGAGACCAGTGTCTTTGTGGTCATATCCTTGTCTGTGAAGCTGTCTCCTCTGTGAAGCTGGTCCCTTCTCCTTTAAATCCCCTGCCCTGAAATCTGCAGTGTCTATTTACACCAGTTGCTCCTTTGAAATCTCCTCTGCTACCCTGAAGAGTGGTTGCACATTCCCCTGAATCCTGTTATCATCTGCCATCACACACCCTCATCACCAGGTCCCCATCTCTGAAGCATCCTCCAGCATGTGTTTGCATGCGCGTGAGAGCTCCCTCCCTCCCTCCCTCTCTCTCTCTCTCTCTCTCTCTCTCTCTCTCTCTCTCTCTCTCTTTCTCTCTCTCTCTCTCTCTCTCTCTCTGTGATGTTCTCTTTTATTTGCATGGGATATCTTTCTCCATCACTTTACCTTGAACTTGTGGATGTCATTTGAAATGAGATGGGCTATTAAAGGCAGCAAATGGATGGATTTTTTTACACATCCAATTTGCTACTCTGAGTCTTTTGAGCAACATATTCAGTCCACCAACATTCAAGTTAACTATTGATATGTGAGGGTTTGTTTTTGTTATAGCATTAAGAAGTCATTTTGTGTTCTGAGCCTTGTGGTTGGTTTGTATGGTCTGTAATCTCTGTGTTTACATGTGTTTTTGTGATGGGTTTTTATTTTCCACTTCTGTGTTTAAAACTCCCTTAAACATTTCTTGAATGGCTGGTCTGAAGGTGGCATATTCCCATGTTGCTTGTCTGGGGAAGATTTTTAATTCTCCTTCATTTATGAAGTTTAGTTTGGTGGGGTAAAAATTTCTTGACTGGCATTAAGAATGTTAAAAATGGGTCTTCAAGTCCTTCTGGCTTGTAAAGTTTCTGTTGAGTAGTCCGCTGCAATTCTGACAAGTATCCCTTGGCAAGTGGTCTCCCCTTCTCTCTAACTGCCTTTAATATTTTTTTCTTTCATGGTGACCTTGGCAATTCTAATGATTATGTGTCTTGGGGTTGGTCATCTCCTAAGATGTTCTTACAGGAGTTATTTGAATCTTGTATCTTCACCAGGGGCCCTGGCTGTCTGGGAATTCTGGCATTCCTTCCCCATTCCATGCTGGCAGGGTTTTGTTAGTAGTGTTAACAGGTGGCCAGGGGAAGCCTCATGGCTGGGACTCGATAAAACTATTGGACAGGTGTGGAGCAGTCTTGTCCTGCCTGGGCACCCATTTCTTTTGTACTGATGGAGA